GCTTGATGCCACTGACACAGGTTTTGTTTAGGGGTTTCTGTTCTACTTTTCTCGAGCATCAAGAAGACATCCAGGTCTTGACTGCTCATGGCTGGTCGGTGATGTACTCCCTAGAATTGAATGGTCTCTCTCTTTATTCCCGTTATGTAGTAGGGTGGCATCTCTTTTCGATTTACAGTAACAAATGTATAACAATTATGTTCTTCAGATTGAACAATGTCCAATATATATTATCTATTTGTGCACCCAACAAAAGAAAATTGTCAAGTTGTCACCCTGATCCACCATGTCTCTGTGACACCCATGGCTATATACCAGTGTTTGTATCACTACTTTACCAGTCTCAATAAATCTGCCATTGGTTTGCAAGAAACATGCTAAAATAGAGTCAAAGTTTTTGGAACTACCTTTTTATTGTTATGCTATGTAACCTGTATTATTAGAGGTAATTCTCCAAAAAGAATCCAATTTATAGCACAGGCTTAATAGAGCCTTTGGAATTAATTTACTAAATGAATAGAGACTGCCAAAAGGAAATGTTCACTGAGCTTATATGAAGGAGATATCTACGTCAACTTCAATCAGCCAATCATATTTTGTCATAAATCCCCTTGTTAATTTCCCTAGAACGTGATTGGGTATTCTAAGTAAACACAGGTTTGCCTTATTTACAATCCTTAACATTGCATACACTTTTCAAAGTGACAGTCTCCACTGCTTTAGTATGCATCTTTCTGATTCAGACATGAGTTTTCTGTACATTTTTCATTGTTCTGCGGCATTTCAGCTAATGATATGCAGCACGTGCACATCTTGGCATCTTTACAGCATAGATTACATTTTTTAATGGAATTATCTATGAAGTTAGCTGGGCATCCAGGTAACAGTGCCAAAACTATTTTATTAGTTCACAAAATCCTTGACATTTTTTGTTCTTGGTAAAACTCATAAAAACAGGGAACATAGCTTGTCATCACCATGAAATTGTCTGCAATTAGAAGGTATTACAGCTTGAAATACCTTGCATTTATCAACTGAAATCAAAGTTACTCTCTGTTTTATTTGGCTTTAGAAAGTGAACACCTGAGTATTAGCTTGTCTTGCTGATAATAAATGGACTCGTACCTTAATCATAAAAGCCAGAGACGTGACAAAGCATGATCTCATACAACCTCATGGCTTGCTAATAACAGTCATTCATAATCAGTAACAGTATATGAAACAAAAGAGAAAAAAGGAAGTTAAAATGGAACTTTTAGAAAATTGAGTCCTGCTGGATCACTTCAGGCTCACCACTTCTGCAGGTATAGCTATGTAAACCATTAAGAATAAGTGTCTATACTATTTAAAATCCAGTAATACACTGTCCCACCTGTTCTGCACATGTGTTAGTAACTGCCTGGCGGTACCTCTAGCAGCCCACAGGACAGGATTCCCCAGAGCGCGGAGTCTAAGCCCCAGCCTGCTTGTTCACCAGGGCCCCTGATGGTGGGGATGGACTTGGAGCAGACTGGAACCAGGTCGCGGCCCCTGAGTACACCCGTCTGTGGTAGAGGAATCCGCCGGGGGTCTGTGCAGGTGGAGAGCCTGACGTGAAGAGGCAGAAGGCGGAAGCAGGAATGGCTGGATCCGTGCCGGATGGATGGACGGATGAGCGTGGTCAGACGGGCCAGGTCGGTAACAGAGAGGTCAGCGTAGTACAAGGCAGCAGGCAGAAGAATAGTCAGGTCACTCGCCGTGGTCGGTACCAGCAGTTCAGATCAGGTAGGAATATCCAAAGAGAGGTCAAACGTAGCCAGGGGTCAGAGCAGGAGAAGTCAGCAGAGGTCAGGTCCAAGCAGGTCAGCAACGAATCTTCAGCAACAGAACACAGGAATCAGATCAGACCATACGGCAACTTGTGTCTGTGCAGGGCTGGTTTAAGTAGCCCGCCCTGCACCTGACAGGTGCAGCCTAGGTCCTAGTGCCTGCCCAGCACCGTCATAGGCGATAGGTGCACCTGGGTCCTAGTGCCCCGCTGCCTGCATGTCTTGACAGACACCTACGCGTGTGCAGACCCATGCGTCGTGATGGTCCCTGCCATTGCCTCCCCCCTATGGGCATCCTCCGGGTGCCCAACTGATCTCTCCTCTGTGGATGGCTACGATGGAACTCTCGGACAAGTCTAGGGGCGTGAACATTTTGAGCCGGCTCCCCGGAATTTTCCTCAGGGCCGTAGCCCTTCCATTTTATCAGGAACTGTGTCTGGCCGCCTCTTTTCCTGCAGTCAATGATTGCCTCAACCTCGAATTCCTCCTGCTCGTTGATGGTTATAGGTTCCGGCGGCCTGGACCTTCGGTCCGGGAAGGGATCTGGCATTGCTGGCTTCAGTAGCGACACGTGAAACACTGGGTGAATCTTGAAGGTTCCTGGGAGTACCAACTCGTATGCCACCTCATTGATTCTTCGTTTCACCCGGAATGGGCCCATAAATTTCGGCCCCAGCTTTTTCGAAGGACAAAACAACCTCAAATTGGTAGTGGCTAACCAGACCTGATCCCCTGGTTGCAAGCTTAGCTCCCCTCTTCTCTTCCTGTTGAAGGCCCTCTTACTGTCCTCCTGGGCCTTCGTAATGGCTTCTTGAAGTACCTTGTTGTTGGCTGAGAAGAAATTCAGCATATTCTGTGTAGCCGGAACCGGGCTTTCCGGAATCTTGTCAGGTAAAAACGTGGGGTGAAACCCGTAGTTGGCGAAGAATGGGGATTGCCCCATAGCCGAATGATTCGCGTTATTATACGCGAACTCCGCCAATGGCAAGAGTGCCAGCCAGTCGTCTTGAAGAAAAGATGTGTAGCACCTCAAGTACTGCTCCAGCGTCTGGTTTGTCCTTTCTGTCTGCCCATTTGTCTGTGGATGGTAGGCCGATGAAAGAGACAGCTTGATCCCCAAGACTTCACATAATGTTCTCATGTTCTCCAGACTTTTGAGGTAAATTGGACCCCCCGATCCGAGACGATGTCTTCTGGAATCCCATGAAGCTTGACTACTTCTTTTACGAAGATCTGAGCCTTTTAACCTTGCCCTACTCTACCTAAAACTAAAAAAAAAAAAAAAAACAGATTTTCTTTTTACAGGAACAGCTTTTACAAAAGCTTCTTTATAAAGAATAGAAGCATCACATATAATTAAAAAAAAATATACAATAAAAAGAAAACAGGCTTCAGATATACTTGAACCATGCAAGAACTTTCCCACCTTCTCCCTTAGTTCCTGATCATGGAATGTTCCCAATAAAGTGCACTACAGGAAATACAACAAGATATTTAAGGAAACTATGTAAACTATAATACACTAACTACACTTTGTGACTATTAACTATTTTATATAAAATGATTATTCCAATAAAACAAGTCCTGATATGGAGATATAAAATTACTTTGTCCTCTGGTTAGCAAACATCTGTTGAGCTTTTATTCAAACTGCATTAACTGTTAAAAGCTGTAAAACGTGAAATATTTTGGCAAATGCTTGAAGGTGATTATAGTATAGATTGCAATAGTCATGGTAGTTATACAGTAAATGCTTATAAAAATAAAAGAAACGGATCTTGTTTTCATAAGTTTCATGTTAACACAGAGAGAGTCAAGCAGTGAATAATGGCTTGTAATGAGGTTCATTTCCAAAATCAGGTTTGCAATGTTCTACAGTTTCTAAGTTTTATATGCGCCATTATTATGTTTGTGTTACTGTTATGTTCTGTTCTGTTTATTTGGCTCCATATATTTTTGGAGTGGATAACCAACAGCTCTTTTTTTAGTTTACCTTTTTTTTTCTCAATTCCTAGATTATAGCTGATCAAGTTTCTGATGAACATTTGAAAGAAGGACGTTTGTATCCACCTTTGCAAACAATAAAAGAAGTCTCAGTTAAAATAGCTGTCAAGGTGAGCTGCTATTATCATCATCATGTGTTAAATGAGGTCTTTAAAATGTTGGTATATTATCGACTACAGGTTGATAGGGAAACCCTCGTAATCCTTCAAAGTATCACTGGGGTAAACTGTACCAAGAGCTCTGTACCTAATGGGAAAATTTGGTCATGTTAAAAGACAAGTTTATATTCTGATATTTAATAATATAAATGTAATACTTAAATGTTGGTTTAATTTTTAAAGCAACACAAGGGATGAAACTTAAAGGAGAATTAGGGCCGAAGCTAATACTTCTCCTGAGGGTCACAGGAATGCACTCCGTTCACTCCTCACTCCAGCCGACAGTGGGCTAAGGCCTGCTGCTGGCTGAAGCTGCACAGCGGGTCCAGACTCTGGGATGCTGACTTTAATGTCAGGATCCACCCAGGTTTCTGACCGGCAGTTGGCCCAGCCTCTCAGTGTGCTGCTGAGGGCCAGAGTCAGCCATTCCCTTCCCCTGCACAGCCTGGCACTCCAGCAAGCACTGAAAGGGCAGAGCAGAGAGGATCCCTGCTCACTGAAGACCAAGAACCTAGTTATTAGCGATCTTTGATCGCTCAGTTCTCGGTCTTACAGGCAGCAGGGGACAGATGCGTCATCCACCTACATGAGTATGTTTATTTTTTTTAAATCCCACACTTTGCTTTTAATGAGAAGTGTCCCTTGTGCTAGTGCTAGCTGTTTTAGTTAAAATCTGAAGTCCTCCCCCCCCCCATACCCATAATCTTCCAGTGATACGGGGGTTAAAGTGTTACTAAATGCAGGACCCTGCATTCACTATATCTGATCTCCCACAATACACAGAACATGGAAATGCAATTATTTTAGTAAATATAAACTGCTAAATACCTTTTCTCATCAGCAGTTAGAGAGGTCTTGTGACTTCTATAAGTATCCAGCTAAGCACTGGTTAAAGCTTGTAGGAGGAGTTTTCTTTCTGGCTCAAGGAGGATGTAGAATCCCTGACCTCTGTCTGGACAGTGCTGATTGGCCCTGTGCTGATCACATGCACTCTACCAAGAAAAAAGACAAAGAGAAACAACCTTTCTAGAGTGTCTCCACAGATATGTCTTATCAGGAGATAAGAGGGAATACTGGAAGAAGGGGAGGATCAGAGAAGTCAGGATCAAGCAGTGTTTTTACACAGTGCAGAAGATTAATCCCTTAGGTTCCACAGTGAGTATAACAAGCATGCTTTGCTGCATATACAGACTGATTTTACTGTTGTAGGTTTAGTAACACTATAATACAAACGTTGGACCTGTCATATGCACTCATCAAGAGTGCGGACTATGCCCATTCTTTCCGCCCACACCTCCTTTCATTGAAGCTGTACTATAGATTCCATGATAGAATAGTGCTCTATGAATGGAAGAATGAATGAGGTGGACAGTCTATTAATCTGCCCATCTGCTAGTCATAGAGCACTTGATGGAAGCTATAGTACAGCTTTTATGAATGGAGGAGCAGAACAGAAAAGGCGGGCATAGTTTGTACTGCTGATGAGTGCCTATGCCAGGTCCAGTGCTTGTATTAACCCCTACAGTACAGGAAAATTACAGCTTCAAGGATATGAAGGGGGGTGGGGGAGGCAGCAGACTTTGGATTTCAACTAGGACCACTGGAACCAGCACAAGGGACACTTATTAATAGTAACTTCCGTCCTTTGTATTGATTTACAAAAAACCCCATAAACTTAGCCCTCAGAATAGCAATATTTATTCTATATTACAGATAAGCCCCTGCATTTTCAATTATTCAATGTATATCAAAGCCAAAAGAATTTATCAGTGGGATTGTGAATTGCCACACAGGCAAATAGGAGCCACATCAAAAACCCTACCATCATTAAAATTATTAAGGGGTGTAGGTGATTTGTAGTCATTTACCATAATCATCATAGGTTTACATTTTACATAATAAAGATATTGTATCATTGGGATATGCATGTACACAGAGGTTAAAACACGTGGGCTGCATGTCAAAGGAGTCGGGGCTTGTCTCTGAATATTGTGAAAAGCCACAACTCCTGCAAACAGGAGGATTCTGAGAAGAACCCCTGACATTAGTACATAACTCCTTCAGACTGAAATACTTCTGAAAATCTGGGTTGGACCTGAGGGTGCCCAATAAATACTGGGATTTTTTTTTCACTGTCCCCATTTTAATGCAGCTGTATATCTGCATTCACTCATGAGGAATTAAAGAAAATATAAAGATGAAACATCTATTTCTTTCCAATTGTCAGAAATCTAGACAACACATTATGATTACAGAAGTGTTTCGTGAACCGAAGCCCCATCACATTTTTGCACATGACATATGGATATAAATAAAACCCCTCTCCATATGTACCAGAACACTGGATCCTTTTTAAATAAACCACTTGATAAATGTACCCTACTGCTGCTGGCTGTTTTCCCAGTGTCTATATGATTGATGAATCCATGGCAAATATCATGGATCATTCTTGGATATGACAGATTTTCTGTTAAGCATGATTATTGATGTCTTCTTACAGATTGTAGAAAATGCATACAAAGATAACACAGCTTCTGTCTTCCCGGAGCCTTCAGATAAGGAGGCATTTGTCCGCACTCAGATGTACAGTACGGATTATGAGCAGTTTGTGGTGGATTCCTACTCCTGGCCAGATGAGGCTTTGAAAGTTCAGACTGTCACCCTGTAAACACTGGTGGAAGGAGACCTTTTTAGGTTATGTGTGGAAAGGTTTTTTTATTGATTTTTACATTGACATTTTTGTTTTATAAATCACCCTTAAAATAAAGATACAGTGCAGTGACTACAACTGTTTTGTTATTTTAATATCAAAATGTTTTTCTTTCATTTCACACATCATTATCTAATTGATTAACTATTTTTGTCATTCAACATACTCACCTTCATCAACCCAAAACCAGAGATTGAGAAAGAAGTAATAACTGAGTTTACCTTGTACTTCAGGGGTGTCAAACTCAATTTCATTGCAGGTCGCATCAGCAGTGTGGTTACCCTCAAAGGGCCAGTTGTATCTGGGGTGCGCAGTGTACAGAGTGCAGGGTTTAGGAATGCATTATATACAGAGTGCAGAGTTCAGGATTACACTACATTCAGAGTACATGAGTGCATTATATACAGAGTGCAGAGTTCAGGATTACACTACATTCAGAGTACATGAGTGCATTATATACAGAGGCAGAGTTCAGGATTTACACTACATTCAGAGTACATGAGTTCCATTATATACAGAGTGCAGAGTTCAGGATTACACTACAGGTTCAGAGTTCAGGAATGCATTATATTACAGAGGGCAGAGTTCAGGATTACACTACGTTCAGAGTACGAGTCCATTATATAGTAGAGTTCATTCAGAGAGTGCATATACAGTGCAGGATTACACTACATTCAGAGTACATGAGTCCATTATATACAGAGTGCAGAGTTCAGGATTACACTACGGTCAGAGTTCAGGAATACATTTATATACAGAGTGCAGAGTTCAGGATTACACTACGTTCAGGGTACATGAGTGAATTATATACAGAGTGCAGAGTTCAGGATTACACTACGGTCAGAGTACATGAGTGCATTATATACAGAGTGCAGAGTTCAGGATTACACTACGGTCAGAGTTCAGGAATGCATTATATACAGAGTGCAGAGTTCAGGATTACACTACATTCAGAGTTCAGGAATGCATTATATACAGAGTGCAAAGTTCAGGATTACACTATGGTCAGAGTTCAGGAATGCATTATATACAGAGTGCAGAGTTCAGGATTACACTACATTCAGAGTACATGAGTGCATTATATACAGAGTGCAGAGTTCAGGATTACCTACGGTCAGAGTTCAGGAATGCATTATATACAGAGGGCAGAGTTCAGGACACTTTACACTACATTCAGAGTACATGAGTGCATTATATACAGAGTGCAGAGTTCAGGATTACACTACATTCAGAGTACATGAGTCCATTATATACAGAGTGCAGAGTTCAGGATTACACTACGGTCAGAGTTCAGGAATACAGTTCAGGAATATATACAGAGTGCAGAGTTCAGGATTACACTACATTCAGAGTACATGAGTTCCATTATATACAGAGTGCAGAGAGTTCAGGATTACACTACGTTCAGAGTTCAGGAATCCATTATATACAGAGTGCAGAGTTCAGGATTACACTACGGTCAGAGTTCAGGAATGCAGGAATGCATTATATACATATACAGAGTGCAGAGTTCAGGATTACACTACGTTCAGGGTACATGAGTGCATTATATAGAGAGTGCAGTGTTCAGAGTTCAGGATTACACTACGCATTTCAGAGTACGAATCCATTATATACAGAGTGCAGAGTTCAGGATTACACTACGTTCAGAGTTCAGGAATCCATTATCAGGAATGAGTGCATTATATACAGAGTGCAGAGTTCAGGATTACACTACGATCAGAGAGTTCAGGAATACATTATATACAGAGTGCAGAGTTCAGGATTACACTACGGTCAGAGTTCAGGAATACATTATATACAGAGTGCAGAGTTCAGGATTTACACTACGTTCAGTGCAGAGGGATTACATGAGTGCATTATATACAGAGTGCAGAGTTCAGGATTACACTACGGTCAGAGTTCAGGAATGCATTATATACAGAGTGCAGAGTTCAGGATTTACACTACGGTCAGAGTTCAGGAATACATTATGCATTATACAGAGTGCAGAGTTCAGGATTACACTACGTTCAGGGTACATGAGTGCATTATATACAGAGTGCAGAGTTCAGGATTACACTACGGTTAGAGTTCAGGAATGCATTATATACAGAGTGCAGAGTTCAGGATTACACTACATTCAGAGTTCAGGAATGCATTATATACAGAGTGCAGAGTTCAGGAGTACACTACGTTCAGAGAGTTCAGGAATACATTAAATACAGAGTGCAGAGTTAAGGGGTACATTGAGTACAGAGTGCAGTTACAGGGGTGCCCTATGTATAGAGTGCACGGTTAAGGGGTGCGCTACACAGAGTTCAGGGGTGCGCTGTGTACAGAGTGCAGAGTTTAGGGGTACGCTATGCACAGTGTGAAAATGCATCCCCCCCCCCAAGCTTCCTCACCTCTCTCTCCCCTACCTGGCCCAGCCCTAGTACCTCCCTTTGTAGGGGGCTCTGACTCACCTCGTAGGGAGATTGTTCTTTCTCTCAGATCTGGAGATCTGTCCCCACCATGAATGTGTGCAGGTATCAGTTAGTTCCAGAAGCCACTGAGAGCAAAGCTGTCCCATGTAAACACAGAAAGCTTCTGTGTTTACAATTGACAGCGGGGAGCTGGAGCGGAGGGTGATAGTCAATGGTGGTGGAATGGAGTTCAGCCACGTTCTGGTTACAAACTGGGTGCGAGGGCCAATATGACAAGGTCTGGAGGACAGGACTTGGCCCATGGGCCTTGAGTTTGACATATGTGTTGTACTTCCTCTGTTTAATTTATCAGTGCAAACTGCAGACACCAAGGTTATTTTAAACATCAGATGAATGGTGGAGTTTATCAATGAGTGATTATTGAATTGGCAGTTAGAGTGTCAGTTTCACAGCTGGAGGGGCCATCAAATCTTCTACATGTATATTGTACAGAAAAGGTAAGTGCATACAGTTCAAAGGATATGTAGAAATATAAACTATTGATCAAAAGATTTTTTTTACAATAGCATTCCAATAAGGCACTGTATAGATTATACTGAACGAACACATGGAAGGTCTCAATAATACAGGGTCCATATATAAAATGGGAGAAAATGTTACATTCAGAAGGCAGAAATGACTCTCATAACAAGATAGTGTATGTACACAGGCAGTCCCCAGGTTAGACAACAGGAAGTGAGAGGAAATTTACCACTAGGAAGGGAAATTCACTCTCGTAAGCGTTATCATGGAAAAAAAATGTCTCTACAGAAGCTTTATCACCAATCATTGTTTCCATGACAACCCCAAATTTTCAAAATCCAATTGTCACAGGGACAAAAAGTGAGGTGAAATGTTTTGAACAGGGGCACAGACAGAAAAACAAATGTTGGCTGTAGTTACACTTAAAAAATGTACCTTTTCCAACTTACATACAAATTCAACTGAAGAACAAACTTACAGAACCCATCATGTTTGTAACCCGGGGACTGTCATGGAGACATCAGGGGTCATCTATCAGACCCAATGTCTCCCTTTCTCTCCAATGCAGCTAATCAAAAACAAATAGCACAGCTATTCTCACCACAGTAAAAGTGATCAGGTGTCTGTAGAACCTCCCAGATCACTCTTACTGAACAGCCAGTTCGGTGACTGTAAAATATATTACTTGTAAAAATTATAACCACTTGAATCAAGGAACTTTTTTACAATACAATTGGTAGAAAACAAGTGGTTAAAGTGAAAATACATTGCACCTGAGCACTACAAACCAAAATCTCTATTTAATTTATTTTTAATATTCAAAGCAAATGCCCCCATCCATCCATGTCTCTGTCCTTTATTTTGGTGAGAAATCAGAGGTAGCCTGATGTAAAAACAGACAGCAGAGACCTTTTACACCCAGCCACCTGTGGAGCTCTGCAGAAATTGAAAAGGCATGGATGTGACATCCATCCAGCCCGCTCTGCTTTGATCAACAGTGGATCATCTCACAGATCTCCTGTTGATCAGTGTGCTCCACTCAATGTGAAAGGGGCCTAACAATGGATCCTTTCTGAGTAATCACTGTAACAACTTGTTATAGTTATCATTAATTATGTCAAGCATCTGTAGAAGTGAGCCCTTGCAGATTGCCAACTCGAGGTTCAGCAGGGCGCCAGAGCCCCTGATGGTGGGGATGGACTTGAAGCAAGCTGGAACCATGTCGAGGCCCAAGGTATGCCCAGCTGAGGATGTGGAAATCATTCACATGTGCACAGTACAAACTGCAAGAGACAAAAGGAAATCCTGGAGCCAAGCCAAGGTCAGGACAGGCAGCAAAGAAGCACAGACAGTAAACAATGCTGGGGTCCGTACATGGGTACTCAGGCACAGGATACACCAGTAACAAGCAACTAGGAGCTCAGAAAACTGTGGGTTGCTCAGGCAATGTGGCCTACAATGAGCATGTCTTATATAGGCAAGCAAATTAGGAGATGGGCCAGGAATTGACAGAGGGGAAGGAAATAAAAGCCTACAGAATAGCAGGCAGCACCCAAAGGTGAGCACATCTAACTACACATGTGAAAGGAATCAGGGTAGGAAAAGCACTGCAGCAAGAAGGTAAGAATACACAAGCAGGAAACTGCAGGCTAACTTGTGACAGATCATTACATTGTAACTATTGTCTTACCCTGTAATTAGTTGCAGCTGTTACATGCAGAAGACAGGCTTTTGTATAATCCTAATTATCCAGACTTTCCTTTCTAAGGTCAGTTCAAGAATTTATTTTACTTTGCCCAATTATGCTACTACTTGTTGGTTTATCTAAGTGTTCTCACAGCTCTGTCGGTTTTCGGAGAAACCAAGCCTACAGGATGTAGGGGCAGCATTAAAGCGGTAGTAAACACCACCTGGACATTTTATAATAACATTTACTTGTAGGTACAAGGAATATCTCCCTAAATGTGCACCGTTTAGGAGACATTCACTATTTTTGCAACAGGTGACATCACCAGCGCATGCACATTGGACTCTGAAGGGATGTATGAGGTCTCTTCAAAGCGCTGTGCAGTGGCTGTGGCTCTCGAGTGCATGCGCAGGAGTGATGTCATTGCAGCCTGCCCATTCAAACGGCTGGAGCTAGTAAACCTGGAAGGAAGATGAAAGCCCTTTCAGAGATGAGAGCGTGATATAATGTATACTAGCACATTATGACATTATCTTGAAAACACCTTTTTTTTTAAAAAAATTTACTTTACTACCAGTCACCTACCTGTCAGAGACGGACTTGAAATGTGTAGTAAATGTGTATAGGATTTACATTTTCTGTGTAATACTAGAAAACCTGGAAACCCAATAAAGCTGGATGCTGCAAGTTAAACCCGAACGCTGCTTTGTGGACTTTCACTATTCCACCCCCAATCCCCATGGCAATTGTTTCCCATAAGAAACAGCACAACACTTTAAAGCTGCACTACAACCTTAGTCTTGCACAGTTGTACAGGCTATTCTTCTTTGCTGAAAATCTTAGTCTGATTTAGCTGCACACTGCAAGTTTCTCAGTGTGCATTAGAAGCTGCAGCAAGCCAGAGAGCCTCCCTCACTTTTGCTGAAGAAAGCCCAGCATCATCTAGCTCTTCTCTCACTAGCCTGGCCTTCCCTGGTCTTTTTATTCACTGGATTTCAGCTCTTTCAATTAGAGAGAGACTTAGCATCACATGTGGGCATTACCGAGGGCAGTTGGAATGTGAATGCATTCTGCAAAAAAACTCCCACTCCTCCATACCAACACTGCCAAGCCATATTTGCATAATATCTCCCCAAATCCAGCTCACTACTTGCATCAGTCTGAGGGCTCTTGAGAGGCCTACTGAAGCAGGGTACGATGCTTTCAGGAAGCTATGTACGGCACTCTGCCAGCTCCTCCCACCATCCATAATCTGCCTGCATTGCATAGAGAAGCACAAAGATCCAGTAATGATGTTACTGGGTCTTAAATAAGGTAAGGGAAATAAAAATGTTGATAAGGAATCAGGGAAGGCAAAATATAAGCATATTACACTTCAGATTTAAGAAACACTGAATTAAAGGGAAGATAGTAGTGTTCAGTCATGTGGCAATGACATTAACCCCTTCACGCCGGGGGTTTAGGGTCATATGACCCTGTGATTGCCTGTCACAGCAGTCACATGATCGGAAAGGTCCCGATCGCAAGGAGAGATTGGGACCTTTCCGTGGGACGCTGACACAAGTGCTGGAAGCACTTGCGCTCTCAACACATGTTCATTTACAAATGGTACGCAAATATGCAGCCACTCAGTGTCAAGACCCAGCCGCCGAGAGGCTGCATATTTGCGTACACTTGGCGTGAAAAGGTTAAGTAACATAATATAAAATTAAAATATTTAGCAATTTCATTAAAACCCAACAGTGACAATTCTATTCACATCTGTTTAACAGGCTGTTTGGGTTATATCATTAGGTTCCACCCAAATAAAGTTGTTTTTTTTTTCTGTAAACATTTTCATGCTTTCTGAATGCAGGGTGTGTTCTGCATTCCAAACACTACAGAAAAGGCAATAAACTTTATATTGTGCAGCCCACCCACCAAGATATCTGTTAAAGGGTAAATTCAAGATCAGGTAATATTTAAGCATACATTAGATATTCAACTTATTTTTGAGAATGGAACTGTACACAGATATACTGTACAGTGTATTATGCAAAGTGTTATTTTTGCAAACATTTGATTCAATATGTTGCAATAATTGCTCCGTACTATAAATTATGTCAATCTGTTGAATTTAAAACTTTGGGGCATAATTTTGTTGAAAAATAAGACGAAGTAAAAAAAAAAAAATCATTTAGAATCAGCTGCAGTATCCAGGATGTTGAGTTTGGTATCAGTTTTGCCTTATAAAAGCTTAATATACAGTAGTGCAAGATCAGAGTGACCTCATTTTTAAGTCATAAAAAAGGGGATGTAACATTTTAAAATAGCACTTAAAATAAAAAAAACTCAAATAAAATAAAAACAATACATCAAATAATTTCCAACCTTTAAACTTTATATTGATTTTGCAGGGCAATGCAACAAGTTTACTTTACTTCTTCCTCGCCAAGAAAGCATGCTCACCTTTCCTTTGCGCCTCTGTCACTGGGAGCAAATAAAATACCTAGTACATAGTGTGTGGAAGAGTATGGGGTTCACCCCTCTGGATCATCTGACTGTGCTTGGAATAGTG